AATCTTATGAATTATGATTGTGGTTGAAGTTATGTTTATGACTTATGATTATGTACTATGTCCGTTTATAAACCTGCCTTTAGTCTGTAGTCTGCCAAGGACGGATATGTAGTTGCAGTCTCATTCCAGCGATATTTCCAATCACGAATATTTATTGAATAAACGCTAGGGTATGTAGCACCCATGTGTGAGGTTTGTGATAATTTATTAATTTTTTTTATAATTATTTTTTTGGGAAATGGCTTTATGTAGTTAGAAAGTAAACTGGGAAAAACGTTGTCCGTTGACCCAAGCTGAAGTGGAAAGAAAAACTGAAAATTTATTTGCTAATTAAAACAACGAAGATGGTGGTCAAAATATCTTTGGTACCGATTCCGAATCTGAGGAGGATTATGTCGAAGAACAAAACTGCAATACCGATACTAATGAAAGTGATAGTGAAATTGATCATGAACTAGTTATAAATGTTGCCAGGTTGCTTTTTGATGCTTATTTCCAAAACCGTCGAGTTTTCGAAATAATGATAATGTTCCATATTCCAACTCTACACCCCAATTTCGTGGGGTGTAGAGTTGTGTTATAGAGGTAGCACCTTTTATCGGAACGACCACATCGAGCGTCATAGACGGGAGATGGTTCTTGATAACTGGTCCTCATAAGACAATTAACTCTCACTTATGGCTCCACGTGACACACCCCGGGCAACTGCGTTGGTCTGCAGACTAAACTAAGTGGGGGTAGCGAGATATGGCGAAAATTCCACAGTTCCACAAATCTGCAGTTGGACCATTTGGTTTAGGAAACTGCACCGATCGGGGAGATACGTTGGAGATTTTTGCGGAAGCAAATGAAATGGTAATAATGAACACCTGGTTTAAGCTACACCCAAGGAAACTGTACATCTGGAAATCTCCACAGGACTCTGTGGGAAGGATTGTAAGAAATCAGATTGATTACATGATAGTAAATAAGAGGTATAGGAACAACTGTACATATGTTAAAACGTACCCGGGACAGACATAATTTCCGATCATGTACCAGTTGTAGGTAATTTCAAAGTCAGAATTAGGAAGGTTACAAGTAAGTCGAAGAAAAAATATGATGTTAGAAAATTGAAAGATCCCAATGTTCGATTGAAGGTGAGTGAAAACCTCAATACAAAGGTGTTAAAATGCAAAGATGCAGGAACTATAGAGGAAAGTCTGACCATCATACAAGAAAGAGTGAGAGAGATAAAAGAACAACACCTGAGGAAAGATACAGAGAAACGGAAATCGTGGATGACCGATGAAATACTTGAACTCATAAATCAGGGAAAAAAAAATAAAGAAAATCTCCAAGAATATAAGAGAATACATACCATCATCAGAAGAAAACTAAGAGAAGTCAAAGAGAAACAAAAAACAGAACAATGTCAGGAAATAGAGGAGTATCAGAGTCGATATGATAACTTCAATGTTCATCGAAAGGTGAAGGAAACAGCAGGAAAGTTCCGAAAACGCAACAGCAGAAAAATAACAGATGATGAAGGCAATCTTGCCATAGCCAGGGAAGATAAAAAGAAAGTATGGGAAGAATACTTGGAGAAGCTTTTCCATGACCTTAGAACAATACAAGAGCCCACCATTGAAGAAAATTCAGGTCCCATTGTTTTTAATTTAAATTCAATTAAATTAAAACTAATAATTTAATTAATAATGTACTTTCAAGTAACCAAATTATGAATAATAATTATTTTAAATTAAATCAAATTGACGGTATTAGATTTTGATTTGATACAGAGCAGCAACAAGCCGCATATACGTATTTCGATCTGTTTAGATCTCCTCAGTACGGTATAGTTACTACTCCATGTGCGGCTTGTTGCTGCTCTGTGTCAAATCAAAATCTAATACCGTCATTTTGTTTTGTTTATTTACTTCATTTGGAGTACCAGAAATCGAATTCACTACGAATATAGGCCATGATGAGCGGCATTTGGAGTGCAATTTTTAGACTCCCTTGCCGATTCATTCATCAAGCTGTTTGCTTCGCAAGTTTTAGGGATCACGGCGGCTATATTTGAATTCGATTTCGCCAGGTAGAAATCGTATGATCTCTCTTTTTGTTTATAAATTAAATTTTGAGGGTATACAAGGCAACTATCGAACACGGTGATTAATTTAATCTTGCCCAAGCGCTTTCGATCAATAGATCATCTTCAGGGGCATCTGAAATAAGCCAAGAAACGTTTTTTATAAACAGGAAAATTAATTCACTTGGATAAAAAACTCCAAGTTTATGGTTGAAAAAAAAAAAAAAAATTTTTATATGTGATAAACGTTTATAGACTTACTTCGTCAATTGTGGACTATCCGACATACTAGAATGTCATAAATGTAAAAACTGGACATAACAATACAAAATACACTACACTAAGACAAACAAACACTTTAAAATTTATATGGCGAAGCTACATATTGTGAAGAAGCCGGAGACAGAATGGGCTCCCGGTCTGACGGAAATGTAGAGATGACATGTGACAAATGACAGCTTATGAAGGGCAGTTATGTGATCTGCACCTTTCAAAATTCTATGACACTAAGTATTGACCAAAGGTCCAACTGACACCACTATAGGAAATCGACTGATGAAATATAAAATTATATAGTATATTTTTTATGTGGATTGAATAATTCCAATCTCACACTCAAACCTGTCTATAATAATTAGGATGTTGGTTTGAGAGCAATTGAAGTTGACATAAAGTATGAATGTGAGAAAAGACTAACAATATATTAGACAGTGGATGGTTGACTACAATAAAATGGTCCACCAAGCGCTATCAGTACTGTAAAAAAGAAAAATCTGAATATGCAGTTAAATTACTAAAAGTTAAAATCAAAATTGAAGACAAAATATATAAATGTGTTATAGTCCACGTAGTTCAGTTGAATCCACAGTCAATGGAAGAACTTTAAAATTAATATTGAAATATTCAGTGCATGAAGTCTAAACAGTCGAGCTGGGTCCTCTACGAGGTGAAGCTGTAATAAAGTTTTTAAATATAGGATTAAATTTAGTACAATTTAAATTAATTTGAGTATTAAGACAGTGAGAGTTTTCATTTGTTTCCCTTGTAATCTCCAAATCTTCCAATAAATCCAACTCAAGATAGTTTTTTCTTTCTGCTAATGTCATGTAAGATAGATGAACCAGAATTGATGTTAAAATTATAATATAAATTAAATGTTCGAAATGCCATCCATCGGTTTCTTGACAATATGCGAATCTACGGACACATTCATCAAGTACATTGCGGATGACTTCTGGAGTAATTTGACTCATTTCATGCCTAATTCTATCTTTCAAGTCCTGTAAGTTTTGGAGTCTATTGACATAAACTTTTGATTTTATGTAACCCCACAGAAAAAGTCTAGAGGTGTTAGATCTGGCGACCTTGCTGCCACTCTAATGAACCTCGTCTTCCGATCCACCTCCTGAGAAAGCAATTATTTAAAAATTGATGTACTTCACGTGCGTAATGCGAAGGGGCTCCATCTTGTTGAAACCAGATATTTTCACTGGGTAAATTTGGATTATTGGCATTTGGATACATGTTAGCAAGGAGAGGTATAAGTTGATTGTTCAAAAAAGTTAAATAACGTTCTCTTGTTAGATTTTCTTCAAATAAAAAAGAGCCAATAATTCTGTCATGAATGATCCCTGCCCATACATTATTTACGTATGTGGGTTTTCTTGACTCCAATATCTGCAATTTTGACGATTCACAGTATCATGCATAAAAAATGTGGCTTTATCGGAAAAAAGGATTTGATTGATGAAGTGTGGATTGCGGATACATAAATCCTGCATAATTTCAGACAATTGAGGCCGGCGATCGGGATCGTTCTCGTTTAATTACTGATGTAGTTGAAATTTGTAAGGGTGGTATTTTTCTTTTTTTTTTTAAGTAATACCGATCATTGGGAAACTCCAGCATATTTACCCATTTGTGTTAAACTACTGTGAGGATTGTCATATACATTTAATAAAATATCAAGTTTTACATTGTCTTCAGGTTTAGGACGCTCAGCGTTTGGAATATGTATAACGTGCCCAGTTTCTCCAAATTTTCGGACTATTTTACTCACTGTTGATTGGCTGATGGGTCTATCTGGATATTTTGCGTTGAATAAATTGCATACCTTGTTCTGTCTTCCTTTTTATCCCCGCATCCGCTAAGAATTAATATTTCTATGCGTTGTGTTTCATTTAGATGAGCCATAATTTAGTATTCAAAAGTAAAAATTAGAATTGACAACTGATGACAATTCACAAAATCAAAACATTTGCATCAACATTTGACAAAAAGTTTCAGTGTTTATGAGATAAGTTTTTTTGTCCATTATTATTTTTACTTATTTTTGCTTTTTCAAATATTTACTTCAGAAAGTCATGGCAGGAACCGATGGATGGCATTTCGAACATTTAATTTAAAATAATTGTTATGCTTAATTTGGTTACTTTAAAGTACATTATTAATTAAATCATTAGTTGTAATTTAGTTGCATTTAAATGAAAAAAAAATTGTTTTTGTACCCTTAAAAAATATTTTAGTTAAAAATGTAATGTCGTTAAATAGAGAAATAAATTCTTCTTCAAATGAGGTGTCGCATTATACCGATTTCTGTTTAAAAAAATTAACGATTACGTCACTACACCCACACCGGTGACGTCATCCCTACTCCATCTACGTTATAAGATGGGTATTTTATAACAAAAATCGACCTGTTTAGGGATTTCCCTCAAAACTCGATGGTTCTCGAAATAATGATAATATTCCATAATTTAGCCGTTCACTGTATAAGGACACTACACTTTTGAACAGACTCTTTATAACTATCTACATACATTTATAAATTATGCGTTTACACATAATATTGTTAGTTAAGACACTAATTTAGTCTGTAATCGTTTTTCGTTAATAAGTAATTAATCATAGTTATTTTAATTTTCAGAAATGAAGATATCAGGGTAGCAATTTTACAAATTGTCAATGTAGTTCGAGCGACGGGTGACAAATTAGAAAAACACGAGTACCGCGATAGGGTGCTCGGCGAGCAATTAAAGAAAGGCATGATAAACATCGATAAGCGGATAAAAATGTTAGATCCGCTCAAAGGAACCGTCGGGAGGTTGGACGAAAGATTGGCGGCCGTCGAAACGATTTTAATGCAAACGAACGAAAGAGAAAAAATGCAATTGCAGCGGACGTACGAGGCGGTCATTGACATACAGAAAAATCTGCCTGTTATTATGGAGGAGATGAAAAACGAAATTATTTCAAAGGTTCGTTCATTTATGTTTTTAGCTTGGAATGACTATCTTTTATTTTAGCTACAAAGAGAACTAAAAAAACACACCGTCAATATATATATATATATATATATATATATATATATATATATATATATATATATATATATATATATATATATATATATATATATATATATATATATATATATCTATATATCTATATATATATATATATATATATATATATATATATATATATATATATATATATATTATATATATTGTAGTTTTGAGTTTCTTGAACCGTATTATATTTAATTTAAAATTAATGTTTCTTGGGTTTAGGTTCAATAAAGATATGTTACATGTGGAACTAGATTTTATTTTCCATTGCAATCAATCAACGTTTCGGCAGGAAACCCTTGCCTTTGTCAAGATTCTAAAATGTGTATATATATAAGGACAAACAGATATTGTAAAATATATATATATATTATCCAAATATACCAAATATATATATATATATATAAATATATGTATATATATATATATATATATATAAATATATGTATATATATATAAATATATATATATATATATATATATTATATATATATATATATATATATATATATATATATATATATATATATATATATATATATATATATATATATATATATATATATATATATATATATAATATATATATATATATATATTTATATTTGGTAAGTCATATATATGACTTACCAAAACGTAAAACGTGACTACTGTTGACGTGACGTAAACGTGACGTACTATTGTACATGGTTGGTGTATGATCTTTGGTTTTAGAAAATAAGTTGTTGCATTTAAGAGCTACACCATGCATTAAGCATGGTGTAGCTCTTAAATATTGATGTTAGTTTATTTGTTAGACCAGGGATATATGGATATTTGCAGTAGTATTGAATATTAGTTGTTTTAATATAGACTTAGGATAACCGTTGTTAAGAAATAAATCACACAATTTGGTCTTATTTTTATGTAAGAATTGCTCATCGCTGATGTGTTCTATCTTGTTTTTTATTGCAATCACAGTATTATACTTTTGACTTTTTGGGTAATTGTTTTTGGGTAATTGGAAGAGAAATTAAGAAATCTTCCAGATGCTGTAGGTTTTTGATACCAGTCCTACCAGTCCCTGGCAGTGGTTTTTCCAATTTCGGAGGGCTGCCTCAATATATAAATTAAACAGTAAGGGTTACTTATACTGTATCCTTGTTTTAGTCCTTTAGTTATTTTTATTGGCTCTAATAGTCTATTTTCGATTTTTAGGTAAGTAGTGTTATCCCTGTATACTTCAGTGATTATTCCTAAAAGGTATGGACTAATGCCGAGTTGTAAAGCTTGCCACATTTTAGGTCTTGAAACTGTATGATACGCGTTTTCCAGGTCGATGAAGGCTAGATGTATCTCGGTACCAACCGCTATTCTTTTTTCTATTAATTCTTGGAGTATAAACAAGTTATCAGTGTAAGATCAAAGATTCAAACATCAATAAACTTATTTTAACTTCAATTGCGGTTTATTCCCATTAAAATAGTAATTAGATCTTATCTCTGTTGTTTCTCTTCTTCTTTCTTTTTAATGACAGCTTGGATGTAATTGTGAACACTATTCTATCCCTCCGTACTTCCCATCATTTTCACGATCTTCCCTCTTGCAGTCACAGGGTTTATAGCTATTTCTTTATACATTATGTTTCTCTCCACTGCACATCTAATACACTATTATAACAATATCGGAATATTCGCAATATAGGCATTTATCTGTATCTGTTTTTCTGAACCTATAAAGATATGCTCTAAAACAGACAATCTATCCAGTCCGTTAGGCTCGGGATCAACATCTTGGTCCACTGGGCAACATCTTCCTTGTTGTTCCACTCTTGCCATCTTTTCATTGGTCTTTCCTTTCTTGTTTTTTTTATAGCTATTGTCAAATGCTCTCTTCTCTCATAGAGATATCTCTTTTCTACTGCTAACACATGCAGAGGAACACAACCCGTGATAGCCCACAAGGCTGTCACAGATACAGTCCTGTAGACGCATGCGACTCGCAACAGACTCGTTCAGTCTGATTTTGTCTAAGTATAAGCCTAATATTAGGTATCTATATCTAAATATAATGAAAAATATTGTTAATTATTGTATATTAATTATTGTGTATTTATACAATGATTATTGTGTTCTACATATTTAAAAAGGTAATTTAATTATTCAATTAGCATTTTGGATTTTTTTGTATTATGTGTGAAAGACAAGTTACATTTTCCTACTATTCTTTATATATTTTTTACTTTATATGCCCTGTGGGGAGGGGTTTAACCTCCCAAAATTTTTATTTTGTACTTCTATTTGCTCAGTTTATATTTTGAAACTTTGTGGTTAGTCGTAATTTATCAAGAAATTTCGATGAATTTTGTTTCAAACTTTCCAGGTTATATTTAGGTAGGTGATGTTAACTCTTGTCCTGAAGTGTGCGTAATACTACGACCAGTACGACCGCGATCGAGTAGTAGTGTTATTGATGTAGTCCTGTAGCGTAAGCGGGAGCACCTGATGAAATGGGCTGGGGAGCATCCAATCGCGAATTGTAACGCTCACTCTCATGTTTACACCCGGGTCAAGTTATTTACCCTCACCACGGGTCATGTCATAACCTCTCTCTAGAAAATTCTATAGAGTTCAAATGCTTCTATTCTCATCTCCACAGCCTCAATCTATACGCCTCAACACCGTACCATAAAACAAAATCAACATTACGTGGCACTTGGCATTTTTAAGTAGTAAATATAGATCTTTGCTGCTCCGTAGGTTCTTTATCTTAAACAATGCGACCTTAGTTCTTTAGATTCTGTATGTTATTTCCTGTGAATGATCCCACTTTTATTCAATGCTCTGCGTAGGCAAGTGAATTTTTTACTGATTTGCACTTAACACAGTATATTGAATGTTCGACTTACTTCGATGAAAAAGTTTAGTCATTTTTAATATACCTATTTTGCATAAACTATAATAAAAAGTACTTTCCATTATTACACATGTTTACCTTTAAATATAATATATATATATATATATATATATATATATATATATATGTATAATATTTTCCGATGTTTTAGATTTCAGCAAATGAACCTCCTGCTCAGATCACGGAACCTATAATGTCTAAGAAAGACTTTGAGAAAATGGAAAAAGAGGTGATGAACAAAATTGACAAAGTTACCAATACTATAGGAAAAATCGAAAACGAGGTTTCTAAGATTAAAACAGACAACCAACAAGTTAAAGATTTACATAACAAATCATCGGACAATTTGGAAAAGTTAAAAAGACACTTCAATGACAGTCAACAGTTGTTAAATAAGTATGATAAAAAACTAGCTGACTATAACAGTAAAACTGACAATAAAGAAAATCAAGAGTGGAAGCATAACGTCATAAAAGGTAACTTTTTACATTGCAATACTTTATAGTATAGTTTTGTTTCAACTTACATTATTTTAAAATAAATGTATGCTATTATAGATATTTGTTGTAAAGTTTATAATGTTGCATACTATACTTTGTTTTCAAGAAGTCTTGCAAAATGTTAAAGAAATTCTTCAAAGCTATCTATTAGTTCCTATATATCCAAATACTAAAACTTGATCACAAATGTAGTGTATTGGCTAGGTTTTACTATAGTCGTCAGAGACGAAAATGCCACTGAACCTCTAAAAATTATACGAACAAGCTGAATATTAATTTTCGCCGAGAATTAATTAGCTTTTGCCGAGAATATTAATTTTGGGATCCCAAACAAGACGCAAAAAGTTTACCACTTTTACTTCCGGGCTTCCCCCTAAAACCCCCCATGTAGGTGGTTAAAAACGCAAAAAAATCGATTTACCAAGAATCTGTACTGTATATGAGATAATTTTAAACAAAAATGTTTATTATTATTTTTTGTGTAGAATAAACCGTTCCCTTAGAAACAACGCTTGAAGCGACCGTCGATTTTGCATGTCAGTTACGCGCGCGAAATCAATGTTCAACAACATTTGTATCAGCTCGATGGTAAAAATTCGATATCTTTTGATTCAAGTGACCTATCGACAAAAATCACGATGCGTTTTAAACGTAAAAGGTTCATCCAGCCCCATTTTCACATCCATTGTTGGATATAGGCCTCCTCCAAATGTCTCCAGTTCTCTCTATCTTTAGCTGCTGTGGGTGGTCTGCCTCGACTTCGCTTGTCTGCTCTTGGTCTCCACTTCAATAATCTCTTCGTCCATCTTTCGTCTTCCATTTACCATTCCGTCTTCCATTTAAAACCATAAAGGGTTTAGCTATGTATTAATGGTCCCAGTTATATATACTCGTCTACTGTCTCAAGTGCAGTGTTATTTATTATTACATCTTGGACACCCACTAGCTCGTTGTACATGGTTTTTGTTTTTCTCAAGTTCACTTTTAGACCAACTTCATTGCTAGCTGCATTTAGGTCGCTTATAAGTTCTTGTAGTTCTGCAGGATTATTAGCGATCAGAACGATATCGTCTGCAATTCTTAGATGGCTGAGGTATTCTCCATCAATGGATATTCCTTTGTTCTGCCAGTTAATTTTGCTGAATATATTTTCTAGAGTTGCAGTGAAGAGCTTTGATGATATTGCGTCTCCTTTTCGGACGCCCCTTCATCATCATCATCATTATCTTGGTGCTACAGCCCTTTATATAATAGTATACTTTATGCCCGTGCAGAAATAAACTGCAGTTCATGACCCGCACAGGCATAAAGACAAAAAAAAATGATAACTTCTTAATAACACTTATTATAAAAGTTATAAATTATGGAATTAAATTATTATAACTCATTATCATCATCATCAGCCGTTTTGAGTCCACTTCTGGACATAGGCCTCCCGTAAATAATTCCAATGCATTCTATCTTGAGCACCCTGAATCCAATTGTGCTGAATGCGCTTGATGTCATCTGACCACCTTGTTGGAGGACGCCCTCGATTACGATAAACATCGTGTCTAGGTCTCCATTCCAGAATTTTCTTCGTCCACTTTCCATCTTTTAATCTGGCAACATGCCCCGCCCAGTTCCATTTCAATGTTGTAATCCTTTGAACTGCGTCAATAACACCAGTTTTTCTCCTAACTATTGTATTTGATACTCTGTCTCTGCAGGATATATTCAGCATTGACCTCTCCATCGCTCTTTGTGCCACTTGTCTTTTATTGATTACTTTTCTGGCAAGGGTCAATGTTTCTGCTCCATATCTTAGAACTGGGTGTACACATTGATCAAAGGCCTTCCTTTTTAAGAACATGGGAATATCTGATCTAAAGACTTCTCTCAGTTTTCCGTAAGCCGCCCGTGCCAGTCCTATTCTCCTGTTTAGCTCCATTGTTTGATTATCTCTTCCTAATTTAATCTCGTGGCCCAAATATTCATAGCTATACACCTGTTAAATTTGCGTGCCCTTAGTTGAGATGTTTTCACACCAGTACAAGGTTGGTCATATATTCTGTTTTGGAAAAATTAATTTTAAGTTTTAACTCGTGTACACGAGCTCTGAAGGTCTTAAAGAAGCTGGCAGGCATGATCTACCCTGGTCTACAATAAGGACTATGTCGTCTACAAATCTCAAGTTGTTCACAAACTCTCCATTTATGTTGACTCCAATATTCTCCCAATTATTGTTTCTCATAGCACTCTACAACAAAGCGGTGAATAGCTTAGGAGAGATGGTATCTCCTTGCCTAATACCCCTCTCGAAGGGAAATATATGTGTGTTGCCATAATACATTCTAACTGCAGCTGTTGCCCTATTGTATATATTCCGAAGAAGAGTTGTGTACCTATGACCAAAAACGCTTTCTCAAAGTCTACAAATATTAACATCAATGGCTTGTTGTATTCTGTAACTTTCTCTATTAAGGATTTTATTACTTGTAGGTGGTCATTCGTTCCAAAGCCACTCCTAAATCCGGCCTGCTCTAATGGTTGGTGAAAATCCAGCTTAGGTTCCAGTCTGTTAGTAATTATTCTTATAAAGAGCTTATATAAATGAGATAACAAGCTGATAGGTCTGTAGTTTCCAATTTCTGTTACATCTCGTTTTTTGTGCAATATTATCATAATGGCCCTATTCCATTACAATGCCATCTTCTCCAGGTGATTTGCTGTTCTTCATAGCTTTCAACGCTGATTCGATTTCATATTCGGTTATGTCTGGGAGTTCCTCTCGGATCTTTGATTTTGTATGGATATATATATATATATATATATATATATATATATATATATATATATATATATATATATATATATATATATATACAGATTGAACCAAATTAAAACGGAACATACAATTTAATACATGTCTGTTTGAACTGCATTTAAAATAGTGGACCAATATAAAACTTGGACAAAAATAAATCCATACCTGGGTATAGACATTGTATAAAATATCGTTCAACTATCTGTCTCGCAACAAAGTTGTTTGCGTAAGACGGGTTTGTCTAAGGAGGCGTAATAGTTCAGGAATTGAAGTTCGAAAAAAGTTAAAACCTCGCAATTTTTTCGTCCTGCATGTATCCATTTGAAATTTTAGCAGAAGGTAGGTAATAGCCCAAGGATCAAAATCTATATCGAACCGAAGTGCGCTGAAGGGTTTTAGGGGTGAAAACTACCCCTAATTGTCAAAAATTATAAAATAACATATTTTATTAAACCTGAATATGGGTAAGATTTGGTTTGAATTAATTAAATAATGATTATCTTATACTTTTGAATAGAGTTCCATCATATTTTAACCCTTAAAAAGCAACCCTTGTTAGAGATTAATGTAAAAAATTACTAATTCTAAAAAAATGATTTCGCCTTGTATCATTTGGATAAAAATTTGGATTTAAGCTCAATTCACCCGCTGCTTTATAATTTATGTCATGTCGACGAACCCTGATTGTTCTTAGGGGTGAAAACTACCCCTAATTGTCAAAAATTATAAAATACCATATTAAACCTGAATATAGGTAAAATTTGGTTTGAATTAATTAGATAATGATAGTTTCGTGCTTTTCAATAAAGTTCCATTATATTTCAACCCTTAAAAAGCGACCCTCATTAGAGATTAATATAAAAAAATTAGTAATGCGAAGAAAATGATTTCACCTTGAAACGACTTGCATAAAAATTTGGAATTAAGCTCAACTCACCCTCTGCTTTATAGTTTATGCCATGCCGATGAACCCTGATTGTTCTTAGGGGTGAAAACTACCCCTAATTTTCAAAAATTGTAAAATAATATTACAAATCCTAAGATGAGTGAAATTTGGTTTGGATTATTTAAATAGTGAGTTTTTTATACTTTAAAATACAAATTCATACATTTTCAACCCTTAAAAATCAATTGTTATGAGTGCTATAGGTGAAAACAATTTTTTGCCAAAATTTTGCAACTTTTCAACTTTTGAAAATCACCCTTTACAACATTGAAGTTTTTATAAACTAATTTATAAGATATAAATTGAAAAAAGTAGAATTAAATACAAAAAAAATTATCAACATAAAAAGGCACCATATATTCTTATACATTTACATAAATAGTTGAAAATATTTACATTTATAGGTAAAACAATTATAATATTAATTTTATTCGTCATCAATTACATCTTCATCGTGATCTATGTCATCATCATCTTCCTCAATTATTGGTGGACTGTTATTGCACCCTTCACCTGAGCACCCAGAACAAGTAGAGTTACAGTATAAACCAACTTTTCTGCACCCATATGAAACGCCGCATCCTTTTTTGCATTGGCAAAAAATAATTTTCAAAAATTTATCGGGTGCAGGTTGTTTGTTCATGCGTACAGGTAATAACAAACCATCTTTGGAAAACCATCCCCAATCTGTTGCTCTGATATTTTCATTGCCAAGCCATAGACATATGAGCAGATGTTTTATTCTGTTGTATGGGATTTCAAAATAAGAACGCTTAAAATTTCGAATGTATAACGCCCCACTAGCTAATATACCGGTTTTGTAGATTATTATGCTCCGAAATGTACTGTACTATACTAATGGAATTTTCCGGAAAAAAATTAACTGGTTTTTTAAAGTATTTCCTTTAATTTTTAACGATAGATGTTTCTTCAAAAACGATTTGTAGAGGTTTTTAATAGCTACAAGGATCTGTGAATTAAATCTTTTTGGAACCCTTGGTTTTTAAATGGGGTGAGTTTAAAGGGCCCGAAAAAGATGGTGCTTGATCGTAAATCGATGCTTTAAACGGATATATCTCGCCAAATATTCATTGTACAACAAATCTAAATAAAGGATAATTTTAGTCATTAAAAAAGCTACAATTTGGTAATTTTTATTTTTTTCATATATTCAGTATTTTCTGGCATATTTAAAAAAAGGAGGGTAAAAAATATGAAATTGTAAATCGTTTCTCGCTTTAAGCTGTACTTTTTCTAAAACTAAGCATTTTAAATGGGTCAAACTTCTTGGAAGTATTAACAATACATCTACAAAGGGAATTGCAGAAGGGTGAAGATCGATTTTAATTATGGGGGTGGTTAGGGTGTTGTTTTCCTCGATTTTTTCGTAAACAATGAGGTATTGACCTTATTTTTTTATGATAGGTCTATTTATGCTCTTTAAAAAAGGTTTTGTGAGTTTTCTTTCAAAAATGCATCATTTTTCCAATATTTGACTTTGAATCTTTCAAATTTGGCATTTGAAGAAAACCGCTGAACATTGATATTGTATTTGTAATTGTATTTGTCTTTTTAAAAGCTACAAATTTGTTCTCTACAATTTTTTTGATAAAATGCACCATTTTCGAGTTATTCGCGAAAAATCGATTAAAAACGTGGATTTTTTCGTCTAAAAGTTGTTACTTTCAATCGCGAATAACTTGAAAAATATCATTTTATGAAAAAAATGTATAGCACATTTTTTGTTTAGAATCACTTTTCTAATCGAAACCTGTAGTTAAAGCGTAAAAAAATTTTCACCCCGGAGATGGGGTGGCAACCACCCCTAGGCTTTGGCGCACTTTGGTTCGATATAGATTTTGATCCTTAGGCTATTACCTACCTTCTGTTAAATTTCAAGTCAATCCGCGCCGCACGAAAAAATTGCGAGGTGAAATGCTACATTTCCTGGACTATAACTGGTTTGACAGCATAATCGTAGATTTATGTGTAGCTTTCAATTTTTATGAGTTCAGAATCCAGCAGCCCACTGAAGTATGGGATTTTTTATAATATAATTATTTGACAATCTTTTGTTGGCCAACCAGCTACAGCAGAATTGAGCCGAAATACATTATATTCCTATGTTCCGAATTTATTTCGTTCAATCTGTATATATATAACTTTTCCTTAAGTTGTTCACTATCGGTTTCATCTTGCACGTCATTCTGAAGGTTTCTATCTATTTCTTTCTGGTATGCCCTTGTGTTAGTAATCGCAGTGAACGTAACATTTTTAGTCGTTGTTACCATATTTCGTCGTTCCTTCTTTACGTTCAGGACTACCTTCGCTCTAACCATTCTATGGTCACTTCCGGTTGAACATCGATTTAATACAGATATGTCTTGAACAGCGTCTTTTTTGTTAGTAAAGATAAAGTCAATTTCGTTCTTGTTCAAGCCATTTGGTGATTGATAAGTCCACTTTCTTTGGGGGCTTTTTTTTAATGGGTGTTCATGACATATATTCTGTGTTGCAGAAGAAATTCTATAAGAGTTTGATCCCTTTCGTTTCTGTCGCCATATCCGTGAGGTCCAAGTACAAACTCCGAATCATCCTGCTTGTGGCCTATTTTTCGTTTAGATCTCCCATCAGTATAGTATAGTTGGTGGTTACCTCTTCTAGCGCAGTGTTAACGTCATCGTTGAACCATTTAACTTCTTCGTCTGTGTGGGCACTAATATATGCGTATACCTGGATGATCTTTAATTTATTATAACTACATAACATTATTAAGTGAAAGTCATATAAAACTGGCAATTCTGGAAAGATCCTGTGATAAATACGCTGTCAGCAGCAAATGTTGAATTATGTTTCATCGTCTGCGTATCAAGTTTATGTAAGGAAAAGCCAGATCTAGAAGGTATACCTGCCAGCAGCTCTGAAACCTCATTTTTTGAAGATATACTACTCGCCTCAACGTTGTCATGTTGGCTTCAGTGTCTATCAGAAAAGTTGCCGATATTCGTCGCAGTCAGTGACCTTATGCTTGTCGGAATCACTCAAAGCCAGATACTTTACAATGATGAAACCGACTCTCGACCGACAAAAATAGTTGTGACGTTCCGACTCGATAAGTTGGGTAATGCGGAAGTCGGCTGTCGGGATGTCGCGGTTGTTCAACCAAATCGATCATCATTATGATTTCTAAGAATTTACTGCCTCTAAATTTGATTCCCCATTATAGTATGACATATATGTCAAAAATTATTTAAAAATAAAAATCGATCTGTTTCGCGATTTGCCTCCAAAGTCTTTTATTCTCGAAAAGATGAACTTATTCCATACTTTTCCGCAGTATAAACATCATTATTTCTCACCTATTTTACAAGTTTTAATATATTATAATTATCTACATATTTTCCCAGAATATTGGCGAACTTTACAACCTTATATCGAGTCAATTATATTTTTGTTTACATCTACAAATATTTTTAGCTTTGGATGGTCAAAAATCTAGTGTTAAAGACATCTTGCAAGATTTGAAAAGTCTCCATAGTCAGGTAAAACAATTACCACAAAAAGATGTAATTAATAAGTTACAAAATTCTAATAACAATTGTCAAGATCCCTCTTTAAAACAAGTTTTACACAAGATCGAAGGTAAATTAAATAAAACCCACGATGAGGTTACGAAAAATCTTAATGGACTGACACAACTTACTAGTACTTTGAACAAAAGCCTGGCTAACACAAATAATGGTAAGTATATATTCTAAAGGTGGTATTTAGTGTAATTTCAGTTTATTTTATATATTTCTTGTATTTTGTTTCAAATAATTTTAAAAATGAAAAAATAATCGACGCCTGAATCGTAAACAATGGTTAATGTGTCGTAAATATCCATATCCTACACAAGGTATCCCTCAAAAGGACAAAACATTACAACTCTAGATACCTAAAGGTCTATAACTATTTCTGAAAACGGCAAGCAGCATTTACAGTGTCTTATTCTTCCTATGCCGTCTCCATTAACGGAAATTGGCCACATTTCTAAAAGTTTCTTTGTCTTTTGAAACGTGGAATAATTCGTCTACAGCCATGTTTGTCCAGTCTCGAATATTTCGCAGCCATGACTTCCTCTTTCTACCTATTCCATTTTTGCCATCGACTCTACCCTGCATGATGACCTGCAGAAGACTATTTATTATTCCGTAGTATGTGTCCAAGGTATGCAGTCTTGCGTACTTTTATTGTTCTCAACAATTTTTGTCTCGACTCATCCTTCTCAGCACTTCCACATTGGTGACCCTGGCAGCCCACGGAATTCTCAACATTCTCCGGTATATCCTAAGTTCCAAGGTTTTAAGCTTCTTAACTATTTGCGCTTTTAACGTCCATGTTTCTACCCCGTCCGATAGTTGGGACCATTTAACAAACCTCAGTCTCAGCGGAGTATTCCGATTTTTGTCACAGAACAATTGCTTGAATTTTAAAAACGCTGCCTTTGCCATTTCTATTCGTACCCTGATCTCTTGGTCTGGATCTAATTCTGTGTTGATGTAAGCTCCCAGATAGTTATATTTTGTCACCCCTCTCTATTTGCTGTCCACCAGGGGTTAGTTGTTCAATATTTATTGGACTCCTTGATACTATCATAAATATGGTCTTATCTGTGTTGATGTCAAGTCCCATTTGAATGCATTCACTATTTATTACATCTAGTAAAGTTTGGAGTTCTTCTATACTCCCAGCCATAATTGCTATATTGCAAATCTCTCATCGTTCATCTTTACTACTGCTTTCTGATTCCAGTATATAGCCTTAATAAACTCAATGTCTTTTTTGTCTAAATTGATGTTTTTTAATTCATCTATTAACTTCATATGCTGCACTTGGTTAAAGGCCTTCCTAAAGTCTAAGAAGCATACATATGCACTGTTGTTATATTCCCGACATTTTTGCAAGAGTACTGTCAACGCAAATAATGCCTCTCTTGTACCCATGCCTCCTCTGAAGCCAAACTGCGTTTGATCTATCTGCTCCTCACATTTCTTATAAATTCGATTTTGATCAATTTTCAAGAGAATCTTTAAAGGGTGGAACTTTAGGCTTATCAATCTATAGTCATTACATGATTTGGGATTGTTGTTTTTTGGTAGAGGTAAAAATATCGATTGAAGCTATTCCTCCGGGATGTTGCCCTCTACATACATGTGGTTGAGAATTCGGGTGAGTCTCTATATATTTCCGTCATCTAAGGCTTTTAACGGTTCAACTGGAATTTGAACAGGACCCGGTGCTTCTCCTTGTTTTGCATTCTGTAGAGCATGTTTTACTTCTGAGGCTAAAATTTGTAGGTATTGTTCTTCTTCACCTATATCTTGTTCATTTTACCAACCCAAAAATCTGTTGGTTGTTGACCTTGTTGATCTGTCAAAAAGTATTTTGACCTCAAGGTTGGCTGTCTTTTCGCGGTTTAGTTCGTTCCGGTTCATCTAACGCCATTTTCCCGGCGACACTTGTAGGGATTTGATCGGTAACTTCATTTACACTACTTTTATAATTTTTATTAATATCACTTATAATGCTACCTAAAGTTAAAATCAAAGCTTAATAATCATAAAATAGTTGGAAGTTATTTATGATTTTCTAGGTTCTTTCTTACTAATTAACATTAAATAACATTTAATTTACTTTAGACCACATGGTCATTTGCTGTGCTAATTTTATAAGTTCATATATGTTGTTAGTTACTTAATTGTTTATACAAAATCAGCGTATTATGTCCATTTACTTAGTTTCATTCACATTATTGTTAATAACATTGACTGCTACATGTCTTTTTAAGGTAACAATTAACATCGTTTCCATGATTGTGTGGTTCTCATATTGTACTTTTTTAGATGAACTGATGATGCTTTCAAAACTCGAAAGCGAAACGTCTTCAAAATAGATAAAGTAGCCTATCAACTTTGTCTTTTATTTCTCCACCTAGAGACCGATATAAGAACCCACCACTCGTCTGAGTGATCCTTATATATATATATATATATATATATATATATATATATATATATATATATATCATCATAAACTTGTATGCGTCCATTGGTGGACGTATGTCTCCCCAGCTCATTCCATCTGTCTCTCTTATGCGGCATGCATTCAGTTATTGCTAACACGCTTCAGGTCGTTTGGTTGGTGTGTGTCCTCTGCTCCTTAATGCTTCTTGTCTTGGTCTCCACTCGACAATACGTTTTGTCCATCCGTTGTCTGATAATCTGGTGATGTGTCCTGCCCAATTCCATTTTAGCAACGTAATTTTTTCGACTGCTTCTGTTGTTTTTGTTCTACAATGTATTTCTTCATTTGGGATTCGGTCTCCCAGAGAGCCACTCAACATTTGGCGCTCTAAAGCCCTCTGAGTAACGCAAATCCTATTTATTCCATTTTTTGTGAGTGTTAATGTTTCCGCTCCATAAGTGAGTACAGGTAACACAGGTAGGTTCGATTTAAATACATAGTTTAATTTACCAAACGCTGTCCATTATAATCATATTTAATGTGTAAGCAGACATGTCTGGTTATCTCTGCCCAACCGAATTTCATGTCTTAAGTACTTATACGATGCAGTCTGCACAATATCCCTTCCATCAACAGCAATATTTCGATTTAGCACCAGATTAGTCATTATTTACGTCTTGTTCATGTTGATTTTTTTTATAATTTTTTCAATATTAGTATTGCATCATGATATAAGGATACAAGATATGATATTGCCACGCACTAAACTCGTACATCTCGCGCATGACGTCACCTTGTGCTAAATTTTCAAAATGTATCCATGCTTGCGGATGAAACGCACTGTTGAAATTCTAATATAATTTAATAGATGTTTTATTTACTATGTGAATTTAAGTTAAGTATTTAAACTAGTATATTGTAGAAAATAACACGTTTCCATGAGAGTAAAGTTTGAAGGGGGAGCCATGGCCGAATGGAATGGTTATGTAAACTAAAGTTTGATTTTGAGGTTGCAGTCATTAATAGGGCAGGATAAGTAAAACTCTTTTTTTACTTAACTGAACTTACTTTTTTTAAAGCAATCTGTGTTTGCATTTCAATAATGAACTATCCTATAAGCTTGTGGATCGTCAGAATAGATACCTATTGCTTTAGATATGTCCTCAACTTTCCATTTAAGGCTTTTGAATTTTCTAATTTTTTTAGGTGCTCCTCACTAAAAATATTTTCAATAAGTTCTTGGCGCTTTTCCAAAAATGCAATCTTTTCTTGAAGGCCAAGTATTATTTTGTCCCGATTATCTTCGTCAGTATTAACCCTCAAAAAAAGTCAGAGTTTAAGTATACAGGACCACATATTCTAGGCATTATAAACACAGCCTAGTTAAGATAGTATATAATCTGCGCTAGTTAGGTATTTTAAACTACAAACTAACCCAATACTTCGACGAGTAGGTAATTCTTCCAAAACAGCATCCTCGGAGATAAAACAAGAAGCACCGGCCTTCGCACCATCATCAAAACTGTTTCCACTATTGCTACAAAGTTCCATTCTACAAAAACAAATATTTAGTAATGAAATCATTAGACATAATTATTTACCACTTCAATATAATAAATATCACGTATCTATTTAATAAATCATCCACAAGTCTTTTTTGTTGTCTTTTAAGTTGCCGGTTCGTTCGATCGTATCGATCACTTTCAATAAAGTGCTTAGAGCAAACACGAGCAAATTTAACATTAAAACTATCCTGGTGTTTACACAAATGTTTCCAAACAGCTTGCATTTCCTTGTCTTTTGGAAAGCTATAAAACGCTGTACGACACAACCGTACATTGCACACCTCATATTGTGAAAAATTTAAAGCCTTTAACACTCTCAAAATATTATTTTACTAAATATTGGCTATGGACCGTAAATGTACATAAACATCAAAACAGAATACGGCGAAATTTAGCATAAGCTGACGTCACATAGGTCATGCATAAGCCACACCTACATGCGTGGTATCTTATCTGTTTGTATTTGTATCATGGTATTGCACCATCCGAATGCTCGGCTATAAGGATGATGTCATTTGCTAATCTCAAATGACTGCCTTCTTGAAAGTATGTTCTAAAACCGTCGTAAATAGCTTTGGAGAGACGATGTCTCCTTGTGGTACTCCTCGCTGTACACATAATTTATTTCTTTCTTATTCAGATGGTTTTACGCTAGCGTGGCATTATGGTAGATATATTTAATTAAGATAGTGTAGCGATGATCTATCATTATATTCGACATTCTATCAATGCTTTTAATATTTTATGCTGGCTTATGGTATCAAATGCTTTCTCGTAGTCCACGAATATCAGTGTCAATGGTTTATTGTATTCTGCAGACTTCTCTATCAGGTCCTTTATCACTAGTAAGTGGTCATAAGTACCGTATCCACCACAATCCTGATCTAAATCCAGCTTATTCCCTAGTCTGATAGAAGGTCTAAATTAGCCTTCAGTCTGTTTTTGGTAATTTTTGTGAAAAGTTTATATACGCGTGAGAGCAAACTGATCGGGCGGTAGTTTTTCAGATCGGTTATATCTTCTTGCTTGCGTAATAAAAGGATAACTGCGGGCAGTACTCCCTTTCCGTTTCTGTTAGTGCCTTCTTTATGCCATGATTTGCTCTACATCTTCTATTTCGGCTTCCAAGTCTTGTATATGTCTATTTAGTGCATATTTATACAGGTCGTTGTTTTCTTGGGAAATCCATTTATTTGTTATTATCTTGATTCTTTTCAATTTGACATTTAATCGTATCTTTGCTCGAAATAATCTGTAGTCGTTTCCTATTGAAAATTTGTTGAGTACTTCGATGTTTTTGATTATTTCTTTTGTGTTCGTTATGATATAATCTATCTTACTGATAACTGTCTTATTTCACCGAGGCCGATGATGTCCCATTTTACTATTTAGCAGCTCTTCCTCCAACAATGTATTCACAGTACAACAAATAATTGTAGAGAAGAAATAAATCATTTAAGTTTTATTTGGTATTGGTATTACATACATAATTTTTTAAATATATTATTTTATACGAATTATAAAAACATTTATGATTTTAGCGGTCAATTCACAGAAATCTAGTGCAAAAGATATCATACAAAATATTAAAAATGTACAAAATCAACTTCATAAACTACCTCAGATAGAAGAATTGGCAACAGGTCAACGAGAAACTATTAAAAAATTAGAAATTACCATGAAAAACATTGATATTCTGAGAGACGTTGGTAACATGGTTGTTGGCACTAGTAAAACTCTCGTGGAGAATTGTTCTAAAACAAATAATGGTATGTATATTTTAAAATGTTAACCAGCTGTAAAAATATATTTGGTTGCAGGTTTGGATTCTCAAAAGTCTAATTTACAAGAAATTTTAAGGAATGTTAAAAACCTACCAAACCAACTTCACAACATTCCACAAATTGATGAATTAGCAGCTGCTCAACGAACAGCTGTGAACAAATTAGATGATGCTGTGAAAAATATTCATGGTTTAACAGAAGTCACTGCTACTCTTATGAAAAGTATTGCCAACGCAAATAGTGGTATGTAGATTTTTCTATTAGGTGGTAACTAACTGACAAATTAATCGATTTTTAAATTCCAAACATTCAAATATAACACAAAGCTCAGTTATACTTACATTATTTTTCAAGCATAAAATTTATACAGGCAGTTTTACTTCTAATATTGGTATATACAATATACATATACAAAACGGCGATCATTTTTACTATAATTACGATATCATAATAAGCTGCATGCTTTTGAGTGAGTTGTTTGTGTTCCAAATATCTGGATTTTTTTTATTTCCTCTTTATTTAAGTATTTTCTGTTTCTTATTATCATCTTTTTTATGACTTGTTCCATCTATTTCCTCCGTCGTATATCCGGTTTGTCTTTGACTCTTTTACCTATCATCCATTCATTTTCAATCATTACCGGCTTGTTTTGTTGCTACCCACTTCTCTGGCATTAGAACTTTGTTCGCTATAGCAAATTCAAAAGCTAAACTATTCATTTTGGTTTTTCTAATACCATAAAGTATTTTTGCTGCCTGAACAGCATATTCACAAAGCTCTTTTTCTTGTTATGAAAATATCATTTGAGGCCTTTTCTGACCCATTTCTACCCCTCCATCTGGGTTTGTTTGCTGTTTTTTTATATATATAAGTAGAGACATTCGGTTAACACTATATTTTTCAGCTATTTGCCTTAAACTACATGATCTAGACTGAACATCTTACGAGGCTGGCTCGTAACTAATTAGATTACTCCGACCACACTCTGTTTTTCGTTTATAATTTCTCACCGTTATCTGTAACAAACCTATAAGCACGCATTAAAATTCGTAGGGGTATGTTGTAACACTCTCACGATGTGCCCCAAGCCTGTTGTCACAACTAGCTCCACCATATGCTTTTGTAAGGTCCACGAAACATAGATTTGTCGGTTTGTTGTACTCTAATGATTTCTCTTGCACTTGTCTCATTATAAATATAGCGTCGGTGCATGATCTTCCCGACCTAAAACATTGTTGTTCTTTTGCTAGTGTTATCATTTTATTCAATTTATTTGTTATCACTTTGGTTGTTAATATTAGTGTTGTGTTTAATAAATTAATTTCTCTGTAACTTTCCGAGTCTGATTTGTCTCCCTTTTTGAAGAGAGATATTAGGATGCTTGATCTCTATTCTTGAGGAATTTTGTTTTGTTCTATTATTTTTTGGATTAGTTTTAATAGTTGTTTAGTTAGATCTTTTCCTCCATACTTTAGGAGTTCGTTCGATATTCTGTCCTCTCCTGGTGATTTTATATTTTTTAATTTTTTTAATGCTTCCTTTACCTCTTCCTCCTTAATATTTATTTCTTCGTTTGTTGTCACCCCTGGTGTTGGTGGTTCAGTATCGTCACTTTTGCAAATAGTGATAGAAATTAGTCTACCCATGTTTCCTTTTGAATGTGTTTCGTTTTTATTAATTCGTTCATCTCTTTTCTTTGTCCTCTAATCATTTTCCATATTTCTTTTTGTGTTCCGTAGAAGTCGTGTTCCATCTGTTTTGAGAAACTCTGATTCGTTTATAGTGGTTGTATGCCTGTTGTGTTTGTTGTGTTTTGTATTGTAAAAAGGCTTTCTTATTTTCTTCACATTTTGTCTTCATTTCCTCTTTAAACCATGGTGTTTTCTTTTTTGATATGTTAGTGTTCATTACTTTTCTCTCTCCAAGTGATTCTGTTGCTGCGATAATTATGCTATTTTTGAGTTTTCCCAGCTTTCCCCGATGTTATCGTTTTCTAATGTTTCATTCCCAGCAATCTTCTCCGATATCCATTCCCTGTATAAGTATTCGGTGGATTCCGTCTGTGTTGAAGCCGCTCTTTTGAGTGGGAAGTATTTCAGGATTATTCTTATTTTACATAATACTAGGCTGTGGTCGCTACCTACGTCTGCTAAGTTGAGGCATATTACGTCGATTATTTTTGATGGATGTATATCTCTGTTGGTTATTAATTCAAAGGTAATAGGGGATAGGGTGCTTTTAATATCATTAAAATCAGAAAGTAAATACTAATCGATACAACAAGATAGCTTCGATTTCAGAGAAATCAAGCCCTTCAATTTCAATTTAAAGAAACTCTAAACCCCGAAAGTGAATTTTATAATGTTGATCTTTCCAAAAAAGAAAAATATTGGTAGGTCCATTAGCAGTTTGAACATAATACAAGAACCACTCTACCCAACGAGAAGGTCTTTTACAGCTGCAAAGAAGAACGACATGATGGATTTACTGCTATACATACCACCTGTACATCATCATTTTTATAAAAACTTGTCCACTGCGTTCGTCACCCGAGCATCCGGTGAACGAAACCTCGAAGATAGATCTTCTGAGGATGAACTGGTATTATGATTGGATGAAAAAAATTATTTAGATTTATAGTCATTTAGACCATATAAGTCTATATTTCTTTGTTTAACTCATATTTTCTCTCACATTTTTGAGAAACTTCTGAATTTGTCAGTAAGTCCACTTGTGTTACACTGTATTATTTATGAACAAACATTTGAGTTATGTATAAGTATTTTACTGAATTTTTATTCTAAATTTAAGAATTATATCAATTATTATCTAAATTTAACGTATTTGGAGTATCTAAGACCATTAATATTCTATGTGCCTCATATATGCCCTGATGTTATTATTATAATCAATAATTTCTGACCTTATTCATCTTATTTATCTATTTGAGAGTAGTATTTTTTTATTTTAGTAGTTTTATTACTTTATTTTTAAGTTTATTTTTTAAATTGAACTTAAACCAGATTTTTATGGAACAACTTTGTTTTTAGCTTTAGACGCTCAGAAATCAAATACGCAAGAAGTTTTAAGCAACATTAAAAACGTACAAAATCAGCTACGTAAACTTCCACAAATGGACGAACTGTCTACTGAACAAAGAACTGCCGTAAACAAATTGGAAGATATATTAAAAAATATCAATGGTTTGACAGAAATTACCGGCATTCTTATGAAAAGTTTTGCTAATACAAATAATGGTAGGTATGTAAATTGGGTCAGCACTAACTTTACACAGACAAACATTTTTAGAAACAATTGTATTTAAAACTTTAAAAAGTTTCTTACGTTTGAAATCAATTCAGAAAATTGCCCAAATTTTTGTTTTGGTAACGTTCATCTTCACGATCCTTCTTATTGAACCAAGATCAATAATACATTAAACTCTTCATTAATAACAAAATATTGAAATCGCTCGGTCTCTGCTTTGAATTGCAGTGTTGGCGGCAAAATAAACGAAAATGTTGCATAACATCGTGACAACTAAATGTTTTTCTGAAGCTATTTTCTTGTGGCATTGTAAATTAATTACTATTAAACTGGGAATAAGCCACAATTAAAGATAAAAATACGTTTATTGACGTTTCAATTTCCACTTCGGAAATCGTTCTCAAAATACAAACAGTAAATTAAACAAATTTTGTTTTTTTGTTACATAGTGAAAAATTCTTCTAATAATTTAATTTTATCTGACTCATTTATATTGACAATTCAGACATACATTATGCATTTTAAAGTAGACGACTTTAAAATGATATTGCCAATATTGTTGAGTTGCGCTCCTGGGACGACTTTACTTATAAGATAGTTCATTCGATTACATGAAATCAACTTTAACTTGAGAATATCCGTCAGAAAAAAATCATAGGATGTAATTCGTCTTTAAAAAGACCAACACATGACATGATGACAGTAAAATTCTCCTGTTAGTGATTCCATAGTAAATTATGAGGGAAAAACCAGGAAAAAAACCTCATAATACTATCCCGACATTGTAAGTATTTGTTCGTGAATTTAGTTTACCTTTAACAAACATCAAAATTCTGATTTTATATGTTACGTTATTTAAAAAACATAAATGATGTATCCTCTATATGTTACTGACTTACTAATACTGGTATTTTCTTATTAATAACTTCCTCTTCTAATATTGATAACCAGATCCTACTACATTCTGCCGAGGAATTTGCGACACAATTGGCCTCATTTAGCATAATTAGAGCCGCTTCTTTGATTTTTCTTTTTTTACCATCCGTTTCTTTTAGGACTACATTTGAATTATTCCACTGAACCCTATGTTCATTATCCCATGCGTGTTTACAGATTTGAGATCTATCAAATTCTCTATTTTTAATATAAGATTGATGTTCACTTATTCTAATATTTAATGGCCTTGATGATTCACCTAAATAAAACTGATCGCATTCACAAGGTATTTTATAAATGCAATTCTTTGTCCTTTCTTGTTCATTGTTAGGTTTGGTTTTGGACAAAATAGATCTCAACGTGTTTGTTGTTTTGAATGTTGTTGAAATGTTGAATTTATTTCCTATCCTTTTAAGTTTTTCTGATAGTCCTTTTATGTACGGTATTGTTATTTTCCTCATATTATTCCTTGTGTATGCTGTAGGATCTCGTTCTAAGTTGTTCTGTTCTATTCGATCGATTGTTGAAAATTCCTTATTTATAAACGATAAAGGATAATCATTTTTTAATAAAACAGATGTTAACAAATGTTTCTCCTCCAAGAACGAATTTTCGTTAGAACAAGTAATTTTGGCTCTATCGTATAAGGATTTAATTAATTATTCCCTTTTTTTCATTAATATTGTGATTTGATTTGAAATTTAAATATCTATTGGTGTGTGTTGGTTTTCTATACACCTGAGTCTCATATCCAGTATCGTTCTTAGAGATTAAAACATCCAGGAAAGGTAGCGTGTTATTATATTCCTTTTCCATGGTAAATGTTATTGTCTCTTCTTTATCGTTTATATCATTTAGGAATGTATCCAACAACTCTGATCCATGAGGCCATATTGAGAATACATCATCTACATACCTCCACCATACTGTGGGTTTGAAATTTTGTTTAGAAATGATATTTGTTTCAAAATCTTCCATAAATATATCGGCTAAGAATGGAGATAAACTAGAGCCCATTGCTAGACCAAAATTTTGTTTATAGAATTCATTATTTAGTTGAAAATATGTATTATCGGTACATAATGTTAATAACTCCATTATAGCCGATATGTTTAGTCTTGTTCTAGTTGCCAATGAATCATCACTCTCTAATTTTGTCTTGACTATACTTAAAGTCTTATTTAATGGCACATTCGTAAATAAACTATTTATGTCAAAACTTACCAAAGTATGATTTGAATTAAATTCAATATTTGATAATTTATTTAAAAAATGTTGTGTATTTTTTATGAATGTGTCATTTTTATTTGTAAATGTTTTTAAAATATTTAATAAAAATTTTGATAGTTCACTACAAGGAGAATTCATGTTACTACAAATGGGTCTAAGTGGTATATTCGTTTTATGAATTTTCGGTACTCCATAAAAATGAGGAGTCTTACTGTAATGTAATATTTTATTAAATATCCCAGGAGCGCAACTCAACAATATTGGCAATATCATTTTAAAGTCGTCTACTTTAAAATGCATAATGTATGTCTGAATTGTCAATATAAATGAGTCAGATAAAATTAAATTATTAGAAGAATTTTTCACTATGTAACAAAAAAACAAAATTTGTTTAATTTACTGTTTGTATTTTGAGAACGATTTCCGAAGTGGAAATTGAAACGTCAATAAACGTATTTTTATCTTTAATTGTGGCTTATTCCCAGTTTAATAGTAATTAACTGAATGTTTGGACAATTTAAAAAGTTACTATTCTAATATGGGGTTACATCGTCACGCGTCTTTACAACCGTGGCAATCCTGTCCGGCATTATTCGTACTAAGGATTTACACAAGTCAGGGTCTAAACTACTCCATAATTCCACTTAATTTACCCTTTAATTCGGCGACGGTTCTTTGGGGATTATTACGCAATTTCTGTTTCATCTGATGCCACAATATTTCAACGTTTGGGCTGTTCGAAAGCCATGAGAGGACTTTAATGTTATTGTCTGCAAACCATTTTTTAGTTGTTTTAGCTATATGGCATGTAGCACCGTCCTGCCGAAATATAAAATTCAAGTCCTGGTAGAGATCGTGAGCACTTGGTACAAGACTATTTTTAAAAGTTTTTTGATACTTTGCTGCGTTAATTGTTCTTTCCACCATCTCATATCTTCCTAGCCCAACTGATGACATGCAGCCTCAAGACATAATTCTTTTGGGAAACTTCACAGTTCTTTTGAGGCAATCTTTATGGAATGCTTCATTTAACTTCTGATAACCCCTTTTTTGAACAACTTGAGGTTTGCAGACGACATAGTCCTTATTGCAGATCAGGTAGATCATGCATGCCAACTTCTTCAAGACCTTCAGTGCTCTTGTGCATGAGTTGGCCTTAAAATTAATTTTTCCAAAACACAATACATGACCAACCTGGTACTGGCAAAAAACATTTCCACTAATGGCACGCAAATTGAACAAGTGTATTCCTATAAGTATCTGGGCCGCGAGATTAAATTGGGAAGAGACAATCAAACAACAGAGTTAAAAAGGAGAATAGGACTGGCATGGGCAGCTTACGGAAAACTGAGGGAAGTCTTTAAATCAGCTATTCCCATGTGCTTGAAGAGAAGAGTTTTTGATCAGTGTGTACTTCCAGTTCTGACATATGGAGCAGAAACATTGACACTTACCAGGAAAGTAATTAATAAGATACAAGTGGCACAGAGAGCGATGGAGAGGTCAATGTTGGGCGTATCACTCAGGGACAGAGTTTAGAGTCAGATAGTAAGGAGAAAAACTGGTGTGACGGACGCAGTTGAAAGAATTACAACCCTGAAATGGAACTGGGCAGGACATGTTGCTAGGGTCAGAGATGAGAGATGGACAAAGAAAATTTTAGAGTGGAGGCCTAGACACGATGCTTATCGTAGTCGAGGACGTCCTCCAACAAGGTGGTCGGACGATTTAAAGCGCATCCAGTCTAACTGGATTCAAGTTGCTCAAGATCGGAGGCAATGGAATTATTTACGGGAGGCCTATGTTCAGCAGTGGACGCAAAATGGCTAATGATGACGATGATGATGAACCCCTTTTTGCAAGTCTTCCACGCAAGCATCAAATTTAGATTCGTCATTGAATATCACCTTGAACCAATCATTAACGGTCCATAAAAACTTTAAGCAACAGATTCAATTAGGCAAGATCGAAGATTACTCTCTTCAATGGCGCTACAGCCCAAATCGAGCCTTGGCCTCCTCCAAACTATGCCTCCAACCTTGCCGGTCCCGCACTGATCTTCTCCAGGTTCTCACGTCTAGCAAATTTTGCGCGTCCGCTGCCACTTCAACCTACCACCTTTTTCGTGGCTTTCCTTTTGGTCTTGCGCCCTGCATTTTACTATCTAGCTCCTAGATAGTAAAGCCAAATAGAGCCCTAGATTCTAGATTTTTTCCAATCAAAATTCGTAAATTCTATAATTCATACTTGACTTCTGACTGGAGTTTTTCTTCTGGGGACATTGACTGTAATGTTAGTGATTTTCTAAATAGACTTGTATCTATTTTTAATAAAGCATTTCCTTTATTAAACATCAGGCCAAAACATTACAAACCTTGCATTACCAAAGGCATTCGCATATCTGCGAAGAATATGCGTTCTCTGCTATGTATTAAAAATTTAATGACAGTATCTCCATCTCTGATTATATCAATAAGTACAGAAAATGCTATCTAAAACTACTCAAAGTAGCCAAAAAATCATACTTTCATATTCGCCTAACAAGCTCCAAAAATATTTCAAAAGAAACTTGGTCAATAATAAACGATTTTCGAAATAAAAGCAGTGCAGAGAATCAAACCTTTTCTTTTCCTAACCCAGAAAATCTAAATGATTACTTTGTTAATGTGAGTAAAAATATAACCTCAACTATTTCGCCACAACAAGATCCAGTTTCCTATCTCCCTAATTCAAAAAACATTGCTACACCTTCTTTTTAAGACCAGTTGATAAGACTGAACTCATGCGAACAATTCGTAGTATAAAAAGCAAATCGTCCTGTAGT